AGGCCAGCCGCGAGGTGGCCAAGGGCCTGCTGCGGTCGCTGCTGCGCCTCGCCAAGTTCGAGGCGCACGAGGTGCTTAACCTTCACTTCGTGAGCGAGGAGGCCAGCCGCGAGGTGGCCAAGGGCCTGCTGCGGGAGCTCCTGCCGCCCGCCGCTGGTTTCAAGTGCAAGGTGAGCGGGCCGCAGCTGGGGGCTCCCGGTGGGTGGCCCACCCCATCCTAGGCGAGGTCAGTGCGCGCTCCCGGAGGGGATCCGGGGAACTAGCTTGCAAGCTAGTGTTCACAACCTGCGGGAGGTGTCGTTCGGGGGCGTGTCCCGGAGCCAGACGCGCTCAGCTGGTGCTGAGGAGTGGAGCGGCGTTTTTAATGACCGCCTCGCTTTCCTCTCCCCCAATTAAGTGCAGCCCCCAGGAGAGTCCGCACGCCCCCATTTTGCTAACGTTGCAGGGTTCAGCACTGCCTTCAGAGTCTGCACCTCTGTTTATGTTCCTCAGTTTTTGACTTATGAGGATGAGACTGGTCACCAGTAGTCATCCTGAGCAACTGGAGAGGGCCTTGGTGAGGCCGCTGGAAGTGTTGAAGTTGCAGTGACGTTTCTCATTGCTCTTAAGGTATTTCGGTCGGATCTGGTCAAACTCATTGTGAACCATCTTATCTCCTCTCTGTGTCCCTTTTACCCCTTCCTCCAAAGGTCATGAACCCATTTAGAGAAGCCTGGAGTTTCTCCGAATGAGGAAGAGAAAGCTCAAGAGGAACAGATATGATCTGGGGAGAGCAAAGCTGGCCGCCTTGTCCCAGGCCGGACCAATCTGCCTCCATGACAGCTTCCATCTCTGTTTATCATCTGTCTTCACTGCCTGACTCTCCTTGTCTGAGATGGGTTCCTGACATAGTGGGAATTACCTAGGTCGAATTGCTTATTTGATTTTGAATAGTTGTACAGAGGGGATCCGAGGCCAGATTTTGGAAAAGGAGTAGTAGGTGATATTAAAGGGTGGAGACTGATGTTGATTGGGGAAGCATGCTGAGGTAGGAGTTGTTTATGTGAGTGCCTAGGGGAGCTGCTGCCAGGATTCTGCAGGCTTCGTGAGTCTGCAGTGGCTCCTTGTTGCCTACGGAGTCAAGTCCCAGTTTCTTGGTAGGGCTGTTGTGTTTTGAGCCTGGTCCACCTCTCTGGCTTCACCTCTCCTCCTTTCTTTACATGCACCGCATACCTTAGCTATGTGTAGAGTGGGTCTTATACGTGCTGTACTCTCTGCCTGCAGTGTCCTCTTCGGCCCTTGGCCATTCTTTACTCAGCTTTCACCTCCCCTGAGAAAGTCCCTAGACCCTTGGACCTCTGAAGCTGCTTTCTGGAGGAGGAGCCTGGCAACCTGTCCCAGGTGATCCTAATGACTCTAATATTTGAGAAACATTGCACTAGTTGGCGGTAGAAAACTGAGGGCCCTTGGCCATAGGGTCAGTCTGGGCAGATCTTGGAATTTGACCAGGTCTCCAAACACCACCTGGAATATCAGCATTGTCATCTCTTCTGGGCCTACTCTGCACCGTTGCCAGATCTCTATCCCCTTGTCCGGAGCTCCCGCTGCAGCTCTTGCTGCACACCCAGTGCTTTCCAGCCTACTTGCCTTTGCTTCTGTCATTCCCACTGTTGGGGTGCTCCTTCTTTCCATTTCCAAGTCTTACCCATCTTCAGATACCATCCCCTCCTTGGAGCCAAGGAACCGTCCCTTCTTTCCTCTTCTACTTCCCTGGTACTGTGACTATATCATGTCTTATCATCCATCCCTGTGTACAATGCCTGGCACTCTTAGTTGGCATCAGAAATATTGGCCCAGGGGTAGGTAGATCCAGCCTCAGGGCCGAGCTCATCCTGTCTTGGAGTAAGTGTTTCATGCTGGGATTACCCCACTATACTGGGCCCAGTTCCAGCAGCCTCACTCAAGGCCTGGAGGCAGCTGCAAATGACCGGAGGGAACTGATACCTCTTCTGTTGAGGTGTGAGGGGTGAGGGTCTAGTGTCTGGGGACTTCTAGCCAGATATCAGTGGTCGGATAAGGGTTTATCAGTCCTGGCATAACATTGCTCCTGTTACTTTTTTTTTTTTTTTTTT